AAGGAATATCGGATAACACCCACATGCCTACATGCATATTACATGCATATCCACTTGCATGGATGCATACTTGCTTGCTTGCGTGCTTGCTTGCGTGCTTGCTTGCTTGCTTACTTACTTGCTTACTTGCTAGCTTACTTGCTTGCTGGCCTGCTTGCTTACTTACTTTCTTTCTTGCTTGCTTACTTTCTTACGTACTTACTTACTCACTCGCTCACTTGCTCACGTACTTACATACATACATACTTACTTACTTACTTACTTACTTACTTACTTACATACTTACTTACTTACTTACTTACTTACTTACTTACTTACTTACTTATGTGGCTCATACCGCTCACACAGTTCGTCTAACATATGTGTGTGTGTGTGTCTGCACAAGCGTGCAGATCTGCGAGAATGCGGCTGCCTCACATGTCAACTGTCTTCTCGGGTTCTGCCACGTAAGTTCAAACTGTGAGCTGACGGCAGCTTCGATCTCCGACATGTGCAAAAAGCGAAGGTGATTTCTGGTCGACCATATTGACTGGGGACCCTGCAGTCGAGTTCCGCGTGCTGAGCAATCGGATCTTCGTCTGCTTCGCGTCGATCGGTAGGTGGTGGTTTCCTGAAGTTTGCAGTGCGACCGGAAGGCAGTCTGGTTTTGGCATGGAGACATCAGCTCAGTTCAGCATGGCACACTCGGACACTGGAGCCTGGATGTGGAATGCAGGGAGGTAGGAAAGAATGCATCTGAACGACCTTGTCTAAGGACACTGGAGTACTGGGTCAGGACGTACAATAGGCGGGTGCTTTGCTGAGTTTCAGCCTCTTCCTGCGGCATATCCTTGCAAGTAGATCGTCTGCGGAGCTTTACCACCCGGGCAAACTTTTAGGCCCCTACACTGTCCACCCTGAACCCGAAGTCTTTAGCTGGGTGCATGCTTGCTGTTGCCGCTTCGGTGGAAATCCGGGGGGGTGCATGAAAGTCCTGCTTTGAAACACGATTTTTTTGCCGAAGTCCAGTCTTGGGGGCAAAGGGGTCAAAGACACAGGAAGCATGCTAGATTTCAGACTTCTGAATCAGGCTTCGAAGGTTACGTTGCCTCGCTGGTGTCTTTCTTGCCTTACAAGCCCCTGTTGCTGTATTCGGAGTGGCCCCTGATGCCACTGAACCGGTGTCACCCGTTTGGGCCAAGACTGTGGGACTCATGTCGTGAAACGACTCAGCTTCATCCATCCGTATGTGCGCGGAGCCTCTTGAAAATTGCATTCATCGACAGCCACAGGTAGTCTTCGGTGTAGATTCTTATCGATCTCTACAGTGTCTCCCTGAACGGACATAGTCAAAAAGGGAGGGAGAGCACACTAAGCCACTAAGCTGCGGCTGAGTCTGAGAGTTCGTGATCCTTCATGCTCCTTCATGCCTTATTGGAAAGGGCTGGGTGACCGGCTCTGCCTTCGTTCCCTCCCTGACAGGTGGCAGGACATGGGCCGAAGATCCAAGTCTGCGCCGCCGAACAGGGCGCCGCGTAAAGGGTTGTGGGTTGGATGCGGGAGTTCTGTGTTCACGTGGAGTAGCATCAGCGCCCCGGAGCTCAGTCTGGCCTAGTCAAAATCTGCTGAAGTGAAGGCAAGCTCAGTTCAGGCGACACCTGACACCTGGAACGTTCATATAAACACTCTCAGCCTCTCAGCCCTTTACCACGACATGAGACGCAGGATTCGAAGCCTGTGGGAGACCCTCAACTCTTGTACAGACCTGAACTCGACGATCACAATTTCGGCTGTCTTTCATTTACCAAGCTTACGGTGCCGCCTTGAACCTCGCAGGCAGATCTCGTGGAGTTAGAGCAGCCGCCTGGCTTCTCTTACTGCCCTAGAGAAGTTTGGAATGGACCTTCACATACATAGCCTTGAAGTTCACGCAGATCTTGAAAGAGACGGCTGGATGGATGTAGCGCTCTAGCTCGCCTCCCACTGCCTGGTTGCGGTATCTGCCTGCAAATGTTGTCGCCGCCTTTGTAGATTTTGCCCTGCCTCCAGTACTACTTTCGTTGTCCTTAGCCGAACCTTTACGCGGTTATACGTGATTGCTCGGGGCTCAAGTCCCCACGAGAAAAGAACTCACCAGAGTTGACTTAGCGGTAGCATCTGTGTAGCTGGCTGTAAACCCTGAAACTTCAGGTTATCAGCCGTAGTTAGCTTCCATGGCGTTGGTTCCCCTCGCTGGTAACACTGCTGGAAACGACGGCAAGCCCAACGCAAGTTGGAGCCCATACTGCAGCCGGCACTTACTGCATGCGAGGGAATCTTCTTAGCGAGTTCTTTCAAACGAACCTCAAGATCTGAGTTGATAATCAGGTCCTCCTCGGTTCCAGTATCCGCGATGATCTCAAGGTTGAATCCACTTGTTGCGATCATCGGGAGAGGGACGGCTGTCTTACAATGAATGCAGAAACCATCCCTGTTGCGACACTTGCATACGTCTGATGCCACTCACTGCCGACTCGAGGTGGAGTGCAGATTCGAGGGCGTCATTGGTGTCGTTGGGATCGGGCTTGGGGCAATCCTCGTTCTTTGGGTACTTGAATTCGTGTATCCTCTTAGCTTTGATGAAGTACCAATCCTACCGGCTGTGTGAGATCCCCGGACTTGAAATGGTATGCAGTCTCGACAAAACAAGACGGCTGAAAGGAGATTCCTGAAAGGTGCCTGTATCTTTAGGACCCTTAGGAGATCCTTCATTGCTGGTGCCGGCCAGCCGAAGGCCTTCTGCAACAGCTGTCCGTCACTGCGATCGGGTTTCCCTTTTTAGAATTCTCTGAGGCTTGACGCCTGTGAATGCTGAAGTGCTTTCACACACAAACCTTTCCTGGCGTGGGAAGAGTCAGAGTGCAGCAGCCTACATGCAAAAGTATGATTGCTTGGCAACGGCATGTCTCCCCGACCCAGGCCGCAACGGTGCAGGGTCCCACTATGCATCAGGTGACACCATTGTGCCGCCAGGCAAGCTTGTCTTCTACGCCCACAGCGATGTGGAGCCTCTCCGAACCTTGCACCTTCTCGACGAGGTTGGCAATGTCGCCATTGGTCTCTGCTATATGGGTATCTATGCGGACATCAGCATGATCACGCCTGAGGCTCGCCGCATTCTTACCTTCGACGGTGAGGTGTGCATCAGTTCTACCACCCGCGATGGTGTGATCGCACACATCCTCCCCAGCGCTGAGCGTCAGATCGCGGAGACCGACGCGGGGACCGAGCGTCTTGCTGATGCCCACAGGCAGGTTGCAGCTCGCAACACAGGAACTCCAAAAGGGTCTCCTGTTGCACCAAGCATTCCGGCAGCTGCTCCCACGTACGGAGGGTACACGCAGTCCGAATGGGACGAGTGGAGCCGCTCCCATCAGCGCGGAACGTACTCGCAAGCCGAGTGGCATGCCTGGAACCGCTCCCGCCGGTATTGATACCTTCTTGCCTTTCGGTTCTGGTTCTAATCGTGTAAGCTTCGGACATTCAGGGCCCGTGTTCCGTGCTTGATACAAGCTCGCTTTGGCAACGCACTCACTTTTAGCCCGGGGCAACCTGGAGCCTGTGTATGCTATCAATATCCGCCGTAGCTTGAGCTGCACGACGAGGGGGGTGTAGATTTTACCTTGCCTCCAGTACTACTGTTGTTGTCCTTAGCCGAACCTTTACGCGGTTGCTCGGGGCTCAAGTCCCCACGAGTGAAAAGAACTCACCAGGGTTGACTTAGCGGTAGCATCTGTGTAGCTGGCTGTAAACCCTGAAATTTCAGCCTTTATCAGGTTCTGCATGCTGCCTATTTGTCAAGCCAGTGCAGACTTACCTAACAAAGTACACGTGCTTCGCATTGCCACGGTGAGCTCAGGATTCTGAATATGCCACGTCACCGTCTAAAGGACATCTGCACCCTGGCCGATCCGGGGACTGCTGCAGGAGACAAAGGGAAAGGGTTTGCATGGCTTGGCGTTTGCGGTTTATATCTTGGCGAAGTGTTTGGCGCGATGTCGCAAGAGACTTTCTAAGTTATCTCTACGTCGTTCAACTGCCTAGCCTCAGAAGGCGTCTCACAATTTCCAAACTTTCCCGACACGTACCGCCAACCGAGTTGTACAAGGAATGATAGATGCCATGTTCTGATTAACAGTAGACAACTGTAATAGAAGGAACGGTCGTGCTAACAATACGATTCACTTGAGCCATTTGCCATCAAAATCTGGACTCCTTCATTGGGCATGCTTTTGCAGTGTTTGCAGATCCACGAAGACGCCAGGAGTCAGGGCCCCCCAAAGCACACAAGCCGTCCACAGAACTGTTTTGCGACCAAGTTGTTCCAAAGTAGAGCATCTTATGTCGCCTGCCGAGGCAAGCTTTTCGACTACCAAGGCCGACGGGCTAGGAGTCAGGAGTTGAGAGCCTTTGTTGAAGCTGCCCGTTACGATTGCGCATAGGCAGAGGCAGGGTAGTATGATCAAGCCCGGTATCTCAAGATGCTGGCTGAGAGCCCTTCAGGAAATCATCGGACTGGTGCACCGTTTGTTCCCATCTACTCGTCACTTTTATTCTAGTGCCCCACTGGACCGTGGTTTGCTCGTTGTTCAAGCAGTGCTTCCGAGTTTCGCAGCAAACAGGCAGCATCTTCGATACTGCAACCTTTCGCGTGTTCACGAACAAGCCATAGCTACTATACCTGGCTCCCACATCGCAAGGTTGGAAAAAGCTCGACGCTGAAGGAATGTCGCCTGCTGTCTTGTCAGCGCCTTAGCATGTCAGCACCGGATGGACGGACCAGGCTGAGGCAGGAGGTGCAGCTTGATCTGGAATTCCATTCTCTTCCACCACATGTCACCTCGAAATCAAAGCATTGAAGCCTAACATCCATTGCATCTCCGCCGTCCTTTCCTTACGAATATGACATTGGAACTCGCACGCTTTCGTTGTTCAGCGTTGCGGTTTCATACAAGGCAGCGAGTGAAGATCCCCGTAGTATCGCTCATGCGTCCTGGCTGCAGAGCAGGGAATAGCAGAGCGGCATAGCATCTGTGGCCTCGGGAAGCTTCCTAGGGCCACAGAACTGGTGCCGCCTCGTTGGAGTGTTCCCCCAACTGTGCTGACTTTTTCTTCCGGCTGATTTCCGGCAAGGATCAACCCAGGATTTGCGCACATTGCCCAGATCTGTCTTTAGAAATCCTTTAGGATTCTGGGCACAGGGTGGATTTTTTGAAAATCCTTCAAGGCCCACCGGGGTGGAGCTGAAGGATTTCCCCGGTGCGGCTGAAGAAAGATCTGCGAAATCCTTCAGGGTGGGGCTGCAGGCTTTTTTGGGGTCCGTTGGGGCCCACTGGGTTGGGCTGTTTGGATATGCTTCAGGGCCCACCGGGGCTGGAGTGGAGCTGAAGGATTTCCAAACCTCCTGAGAAGGGCTTACTCGGGGCGGTGACCTGCCGCTACCACTGACGATGACGGCTACGCAGCATTGCGCCTGCTTGCCGTCCCCAAACACAAGCAAAGCCGTGCTTCTGGTCTTGTTTTACAGTGGACACCGCAAGTTTCAACAAATCCTGCAAGACAAGGACCGCCGGCGTCATGTTGTCGCAGATCATTGCGCCGAGACTTTGTTGCTTTGGCTGTGGCCAAGCGTTGAGTTGCAGGGTATGCCAGAGGTCGATGGGTTGAGAGTTGAGGATAACTGAAAGGGAGGGGCCGGCCATCGTTGCTTGATCTTGTCTATCAAGGACATGTCTTGTGAGGTTCAGCGTCGGTGGGAGCTCGTCCGATTCGCGAGCGCAAGCCGAGGAAGCACAAGATGCGCTTCAACTTCGGGATGGCCGACCTGGATGACAGCCTCAGGGCGATAACGTTCCACGCGGGATGATCCATCATTCGGCCTTGGGTTTCCGCACTTCCAAAATCCGTTAGTTGTCCGTCAGAGGGAAGCATGGTTCTGTGGTCTTTGGTTCTTTGGTTCATTGGCCACACGCCCCAGTTGAATACCAGGTCGCACACTGGACGAGGTGGAGTTCGTCAATTTTATCACTGCTTTTATCAGAGGGCTTGGCGCTGCCTTTGGAATCTCCCAGAAGGACTTCGCGTTCCAGAGGTTGAGCTGTTTGGGAAACCAGACGCTTCGTTGCTGAGCCAACGCGGTTCGGGTAAAGTTACTAACTCTTGTGCAGGCAATGACAAGACTCAAATACCCTAGCCAAGGGTTCGATCACACTGCAAGCTCCAACTTCCGTTGGAGGATCAAGGTGCTGCAGGCATTACAGCGGGGTTGAACAGCATACCTCCAATCCTGTAACTTGTGCATCCCCAGCACTGAACCGCCCTCTGCATCCTTGGCCTAGCTTAACCTTGAGAAGCAAGCGGCAGAAGGGAAGGATCATTGTCCTGCTTTTGGCGACGACATACTTGCAAGAACCGCAGCTTTTGAGGTCGTGCCGTGCCGTCTCGCGCAAGTTAGCCTTTGAAGCAGTCCCATTCGTACGCGAGTCTGGGGATGCCAGATCAGAGACATAACTCGAGCAGCCCTGTCTCGCGCTTCAGGATCACTTTCAACCCAACCCTTCCCTCGTCGCAGGTGACTACATTTCCACTGAAATCAAAGCTGTGAGCCTGTGCGACGGCTCTGAATGTTGTGGCGAAGCTCCCACGTTTCCGGACCAAGTCTCTCACACCGCAGCGGCTGCAGCAAGTGCTTTGCTCGAAGGACGGCGTGATGCCTTCTCTAGATGCCATCCGTGCCTTGGAAACCGAAGGAAGCGATGTGTATTTGTTGATTCCGTGACTTTAGCATCTTCGCATGCCTCTGGGCACTGCAAGGATCAATTAAGTTTCAGTTTTGCTACTTTCGCGCAGGTCAACTACTTTGCTGTTTAGCAGTCTTCCTAAGGCGAAATCGGGCGGCGCCTCTACAACCGAATCTCTGCCTCTGGCCAGCACCGAGAATCGTAAGTTCCAAGCGAGCCTGCAGTTCTCAGTCAGCGTAACGTCGCAAGTGTCTGTCTTAGGGATGTTTTCGTTTAATCCATCGGCAGATCTTGGGTGATCTTGGGTGCATGTTGTTTGTCTCAAACGCCACGTCGCCTCGGTCCTCCAAGCCTGTTGCAATGATCCCAAGTGCACAGTCTTGCCACTTTTTTTGCAATCTTTCCAAGGCGAAGGCGGCAGAGGCACTGGTGAAAATCTCTCGGACAGCTTCCAAGGAGACGCTTCAGTTTGCGTTTGAGCTTTCTGGGACCTGTTGGCAGGTCCAATGTGCCCTGTCTGTGTGTGTGTGTGTGCACATGCACGCTTGTTCTGCCACCATGTATCATCTAACGTGTATACACGCCTACATAAACGTTGTGTGTATGGTGTGTATACAGAAATATCTTCCCTTACATGCAATGTAGCATCAACCGTTAGTTACGCAGTATAGGCTTTGCACACACAGGTACATATCGGTCTGCCAGCAAACCGCAACAAGAACAGCTGGTTGAGCCGACTTCCAATATCCGGATACATCTTCAGAAAACGAGCAGTGAAGATGATATCAAGTTCCCCCTATATATCGGCATGAGGATAGTGCATTGAGCTGGTAAGCCGGTCTCCAACATCCTGGACATCAACACGAAGTTTGAGCAAGAGATTAAACGATGACATGTCTGTTCAGAAGCTTTGTGCGCTGGGCTTTCGGGTGCTTAGGGTTCAAATTGTGTGGCGCTTCGTGTCCAGGGTTGAAGTTTGCGCTCGGCTTGTGTTGCGCGCCACTGAGAAACTTATCGAGTCCTCGAGCCGTGTTTTCCGCCATAGTCCTCTCTGTGGAGGAGACGAGGGCAGCTCTGATCCAGGCGACCCAGGGAACATGATCAGCGCCTATCGGGGTGCATGCCTGATAGACTATATAGTATACCCAAAACCCCAAAGGCTACTTCCCGCCTTAAAGTAGAAATACGCCTTCAACAATTCTATGCCGCATATGTCCTCTTAGAGCGAAGGGCACGGGCCAGGAGGGTTGTTGTGAGTTTCTCCTCGGTGTGTCCAGGGCCCTCAACGCTCAACACTTGCGAATCGGGTTTTGTGTATGGACCGTATGGTTTCAGTTCGTTTTGGAAATGCCTGGCTTGGGCTTGGCCTTCACCTCTGGAAGTGTGTTGTAGAGGCCATCAAGGAGCGGCAGCAGCACTTCGCGAAAGCTGCATCCATGGAAAGGCAGCTGTCGGTTGACGAGGTGGGATGGGGTGTTTCATCAGTTCCTCAGGATGAAAAGCATTCTCATCTGTCCTCCGATTCCGTCTTTAGGTGCTGGAGGAGGAGCAGCCTCCGACTTCGATGCCACGCACGCCGTCGAAGCACGCAGCCTGACAGATTCTTGGGCTTCGGGGTGCCGTGAGGCACGTGCCCCGGCACGGCGGTTTGAGGGTTGTGGGATGTTAGAGGGGTTCGAGGGTTGCGGTTGCAGAGGTGGGCGCAGGCTTGCGGGGAGGGCTGCAAGGCCAAGACAAGGATGGCAAGGAGAGGCAAACGGGATCAAACGGGACTGTCACTGTGCGAACAGCCGAGGTTGAGTGCGTGGCTGTCCGGCAGGCACAGGACGTCTAAGCACCCGGCGCTCCTTTCGTTTTCCCGTCAGATCCCGTCCCCGAGCGTGCTCGCTTCGTGTTCCCGTCCCCGACTCTGCCTGGGCCTGGCTAAGCTAAGTTCGCCCGCCTTGGCAGGTCTTGAACTTCGCCACGATCGAGGCAGGGAATCTCTGGAGATCTTCGGGTCTGAAGGCTTCAGACGCCTCCTGCAAACGCTTGCAGCTCCCAAGCCCACCGCGAGATTACTTGGGAGCATCCTCTCCGCAGGCCTGGTGCTTTCGGGAGTACAAGGCCCCGACCTGAGATGGTTTACAGGCAGACACGCAGCATAGACGTATGGAAGTTGTAGAAAATAAAGCAGTCGACGACAGCAGGGTGTGCACATGTTTGTGACATTTGCCGGGTGGGGCATTTGTGTTCAGATAGTTCGGATTCCGGAAGTCTTAGCGTTACCTACTGACCGTATGTCGAGAGATGCGGGTTTCTGCGGAAGCTCGCCGCGCTTGGGCCCGCAACATCCCAACCAGCGGAGTCAATCCCGGCGAACTGCTGGATGCCTGCGAAGCATATTCTGAGTGCTTTCTTGGACGCTCAGACCCCCAACCGAAACTCGTCAACTCTTCTGAATGCCTCGGTTGCTCACGATGGATCAGTTGCCAGAGTCGAAAATCCCGTATAATACTGCCACCCTGCCCCAATCAAATTCTAAGCTTCGTTGTTCCCGATAGCGGACCAAGCTGATAACTTTGCCGCTCAGGATCCTCTGGCACTGCCTTATGCCCTGGCCTTCGAGCGCTTCTGTGCCCGCGGCAGCGGAGCAGACTTGTGCGCCGGGCAGCATGGGGAGGGGCGGAGTTTTCTTGGTATTTAGTGCGCCAAAACCTCATATCGACCGAAGTCGTGAAGGTCTGAATGTGGGCGGCTTGTTTCGAAGGCACCAGGCCTGATTCGCTCGAAGCAGCGACTGTATTTTGCTCCTGTTTTGGTCCTGTTGCTGTCAACGGCACTCTTCCCATGAGGAGAAATCGTGAGAAGCACGTAAGAACTCTGACGATCGCACGAACAAGGCAGACAAAGGATACACCTACAATCTAGACTTCGGGATCTGATGCCTGGCTACACTTGTAGAAGTTCTGGCGGGATAGTTTGAGAGAGGTCTGTTGGTGAGTTGGTTTTGCCTCCTTGCGCTGAACGCTGGGTTGATGGCATCGCTCGCAAGGTACCACCTCCAAAACGAGGAGCTGATCTGCTCGTGATCAGCGGTTCGGCTTCCAAACGGTTCTGGGTTCATGTCTGCCATCTCGACTTACAGCAAAGAGCTCAATGGAGAGTTGGGCACGTCGAGCCACAATCTGAAGCGTTTGGCTTTGGTCGGACCTCACGGCCCTGGTCTGGGTACGTCCTGCGTTCAGAGTTGCAGTTCGGCGACCAGTGTCATGGCGTTTGGATGCAGGCCTATCGAATTTTTGCCAATGTTCCAGAGCTTGCCAAAGGGAGCCTTACGGTTTGAAGTTGCAGAACTTCGCATTCCCTGACTGTGTGCAGTGTTCTGTAGCGGATGGTTCATAGAGCTTTTTTTGGCGACTTTGCTGAAGCAACGTGTAAAGGCCAGCTTAGTCATAAAGCTAAACGTGTCAAGCATCATGAACGGCATAAGCCAACAATGACTGACATAGGCTGAAGCCAAGCACTTTGTTCGCTGGGAGAAAGAAAAATTCGGTGTTTGTGCTCATCCCATGGTGCATCGACTGCATGAACTCTAGGGGCTCTCAGTTACAATAAGATCTTCTAACATCTACTACCTCAACGAGGTTTTTACAGGTTATGGACGCCCGACTACGATCAGAAGGCGCCTCCGTGACCTACGGCAGCTGTCTATGGTGCTGTAACAGAGAACCTGCAGAATGGTGTTGCAGAGCCACCGAGAAGTTCTGGGATGTCGAACACAATCGCTGTGAGTGAGAACTTGGAAAATCCAACCTTCATGATCCAGTGCCTGTGAATATCGACCCCGAGATGGTTGGCCCGACAACTACGACGACGAGTCCAACGCGAGAGACCGGGGATCCACCCTATGAGAGTTTACCGCACCAGGTCACGAGCATTATAACTGCGGGAGCTGTGCAACACGTAGCTGGGATGCAGTCTCTTTGGGTGAAAGGGCTAGTCCTACCACGCCAACGAGCGCTACACTAAGAGTGCAGGAGTTCTACGCGGCCGAGGGTCACTCAACAACCGGCTCTCCTGAGCAGACCAGTGTGCGATGGACAACGAGATTGATTGAGTTCTTGAGGACGACTGCGAACCGGAGCGTGAATGGCATGGACAGGTTTTTAGACAACCTTGGTTTTCCTCCTCTACCTCAGCAAGCACATGCTACACAAACGAGCAGAGTGATGACTCAGAGGACGGTGGTGAATGTATCTCCACCTGAGGAGCCACCATCGACAGTGAGGGCAGGGCCACCGATTCCCTTGACGTGGACAGCGCCGGCGTCTTCAGGGGAACCGCCCTTTCTTGATTGAGCGCAAGTTGAACAGATGGGACAAGCTCACCGTGAGTTCCCTTTGCTGTATGGACCTGCAGGCCAGTCGGATGCTGGCAGTGAGAGATCTTCAAGACGTCAAGCAGAGGCTCAGGGGCAGTTAGAAGAGTATATTCAGAAGTACCAGGAGCAGGTTTTAAGTTTGCAGCAAAAAGTGGTGCAGTTGAAACTTGAAGGAGACGGAGCGCTAGGGGGCCAAGAAGTACCTCAAGGTGATCTCCGTCAGCTACCAACAGGAAATCCTCAGCCTCAGCAGCAACCACGATGGCATCTTCGAGCGGAGTCTACAGTATGCGTCGGGAAAAAGTACCCCAAGGTGATCTCTCTCAGCTACCAGCAGGAAATCCTCAGCCTCAGCAGCAACCACGAGGGGATCCCCGAGCCCTTTACCAACAGTACGGCGAGCTACTTCAAGGTGATCTCCATCAGCTACCAGCAGGAAATCTGCAGCCTCAGCAGCAATAACGTGGGGATCCACAGGCCGTCGGGCGCTCCGCAACAGGCGGAAGAATTTCAAGGTGATTTTCGTCAGCTACCAGCAGGAAATCCTCAGCCTCAGCAGCAACCACGAGGGGATCGTTTTTATGATGTTGGACAGAGCAATCCAGGAGCCCGTGAAACCATGACCACAGGAGCTGAGCAAGGAAGTCTTCCACATGGACCTACAGCTACGACAGGCGGTGATGCCCCACCCACTTCTACGTCTACGGCAAAGCAGTGGCTGGGAAGCGGGCCTCCAGCTGATCCTCTGGCTATGTTGGCGGGAGGAATGGCCCAGCTGCAAGCCGCTATGTTGAAGCAGTTGAACACTGAAACCACAGGGGAAAGATCCCCTGAGACAGCCGAGCCAGGAACGACAACCTTGCCCTTCCTACCAGAGCCGAAACCCGACGCTAGCCCGGTGGACATCATGGGCTGGTTAGAGTTGATAGCAACACTTCTCTCCGACCTCAGTGACGGGGCGGCTGCCTGGTGGAAGGTCCGCTCGTCAATGGCATGAAGTTCAACCATGGAAAAGTGAAAGGGCTGTGTTACTTGCCTACACCCCTCGAGCAACGAAGCTCACACCGAAACATGTCGAGACCATGGAGGATTTTGGTTTCGCTTTGGGCCCAGCGTCGTGGACAAAAGAGGCCGACGAAGTTTACTCGGATGAGGAGGAGGACGAGGCGCCACGCTTGGGTTGAAATCAACACTGTCGCAACCCGACCTACTTCTTGGAGGCGAGCATGGTGAAGGTGATGATCGCTCCCGCCAGGACAAGATAAGGAACCCGGCAGCCGCCAAGTTTATGAAGATTGTCAAAAAGGCTTAGGTCCCGCACCCGCCGGACATTGAGGAAATCCTCAAGAACCTGGAGGAGAAGCAGGAGCCGCTCCAAGTCACAAGTCACGCGTACCGTAAGCCTACACTTACAAGAGGTCAAGAAGAACTTGGGAACATGCAAGGCTTCAGCGTTGAAGGAGTTCCAGAATCTGGTCCAAACCAAGAAGGCGCTGGAAGCGTGACGCATAGTTCCCAGCAAGGGCGTCTCTACGGTGAAGCCGGGCAAATCGGAGCCGGGTTACCGCCGGAAGACAAGGTTTCTGGCTTGTGGAAACCATGTGCCAGAAGATGAATCGACCTGCGACCTGTTTGCGGCTGGACTTGATGCAACGTCTTTGCGAACTATGTTGGCGTTCAACAACAACAAGAAGCATTGGAGGTGGGGTGTTGCAGACATCCGGCAGGCTTTCGTCCTAGCAAAGTGGCTGGGGGGTCAGGTCGCGCTGCAGCCACCAGCCATTGCCTACGAGCTTGGATTGGCAGAAGAAGGAGACATGTGGCTGGTCAGACAGGCCCTCTACGGCCTCCGAGAGTCCCCTGCAATGTGGAGTCAATACCGTGCTGCACAGTTGGCCGAGGCCCGTTGGACAGTGATGGTCGAGGACGCCCCGGTTACAATGAGACTCGAGCAATTGGTGAGTGACAACCAGGTCTGGCGCATTGCACGGGAAGATGGACAAGGAGAACCACATGCATATTTGCTGGTCTACATCGACGACTTGCTAGTCAATGCTGAAGAAAGTACAATGTGGGGCTTCTTCAACTGGCTTTCCAATAAATGGGAAGTTGATGACCTTGTGTGCTGGATGTTGGACACCCGATCAAGTTCCTGGGACCGAGCTTCATTGTGTTGCTGGAGGAATTAGAAATGGCACAAGAGGGCTGTGTGAAGGAGCTCCTGAGGTCCTACAACCACAATGGATCCCTGTCCAAATCCCAACGGCCGAAGGAAACAATGATCTTGTTCGATGAGGAGGAGCGGGCTTTGATAGATGCAGAACCAGTTGACATTACTGGTAAAGAAGCAGAAGTTAAAGAAACCCGAACGAGTCGGAGAACTGTTGTGATGGGTAGAACACGTCCTGATTTACAACATGCGGTCTCTATCAGTCTATCATGTCTTCAAGAAAAACGAGGTGTCCAGAGCTGGTCAACCAAATTGGCAGAAGATTGCTGGATTACCCTTGTGAGACTGCTCATTTCAGGCTTTCCTTTGTGTACAAGGAAGAAAAAGAAGGCCAGTTGGATGTCTACACGGACAGCTCCTTCGCCCCCAGCGGAGGAAGATCAAATGGTTGCTGTCCTATCTTTTATGGAGATGCAGCTATTGCTTGGAGGGCAGGCCGCCAAGCACTATGCTCTTTGTCAACGGCGGAATCCGAGTTGTTGGAGGCAGTTGAAGGAGCGGTGTTGGGAAGATCAACAAAGTCGCTGTTGGAGGAGCTGCAAGGCAAACCGATAGTGATGAATCTTTTGGTGGATATCCAAGCTGTTCAGCGAGTGGGTCATGGAGAACACGTCACCTACGTGTACGAAGCAATTGGCTACGCCTACGCGAGCTCATCAACAAAAGGCGGTCAGCCTCAGGCATCAGCCGGGAGCAGGGCAACGAGCAGATCTAGGCACAAAGCCTTTCACCCGGGAGAGATTGTACGAACTGGTTTTTGGGGCCTACATGACCGGAGACTTACCAAGGATGCCAATGAAAGCGCCAGTCGCGCTTTTTAGGTGGACCAGTCATGGTTGTGAAGCTTGTGCACAGAAGGAGGACATACGGGCCGAGATTCCATGGGATCTTTACTTTGTGGTTGTGGTCCGTGCTATCGCGATCATTGGACTGTGGGAGGGGGCAAAGTCATGTCTGAAGATGAGGCGAACACGGAATAAAGCCTTGCGGGCAACGGCCAACAAGAGCCTCGACAAGAACCCCGACAAGAAGCCAGAGCAAAACTCAAAGAACTACAACGGCTACTGGCACTTGCTCCTGAAGATCTATCCAATGATCAAAAGCTACGTTTCGTTTGGTGGCTTTGAGAGAGAAGGTTGATGAGACAATGCCTGTTGCTGAAGCAACGTGTAAAGGCCAGCTTAGTCATAAAGCTAAACGTGTCAAGCATCATGAACGGCATACGCCAACAATGACTGACATAGGCTGAAGCCAAGCACCTTGTTCGCTGGGAGAAAGAAAAATTCGGTGTTTGTGCTCATCCCATGGTGCATCGACTGCATAAACCCTAGGGGCTCTGAATTACGATAAGATCTTCTACTTCAACGAGAATTTACACAAGTATAAGGACACGGTCCAAAGCTGCCCGAAGGTTCTGTCAGGCTGTGAATCGGAAGTGGTGGCAGGTTCGCTCGGGCTGCAGGTAGCCAGCACGTCTCAACACAGGGCTATTCAAAGGGACGTCATGCTGCCCACTTGGGGTCTGGTCGGGAGCGGGCATGGCACGATGCTGCCTGAGTAATTGTCACTTAGCCTAACGCTGTAATTGCTTGCCAACCAAAGCCACAAAACTTGGAGGAGTGGAACCTTTCTCACACAGAGACGGTGGAACTGCCAAAGGCCGGGGGCACGGGACAAGCTCCGAGCAGCATAGCCCACTTGACCATGCAGATCCGCAAGGGGGTGTATTGACGTAATACATGTGTCGACAATCGGTGGACTGTTAGCGTCCAGGAGCTGGACTCTCGAGACGACGCAAAGCTGCCTGCCAGGTGGCAGGCGAACCCCGCAAGGGATCCAGACGTAAAGTTTAAACTTTTTAAAGTTTATCGGTTCCGAGCACTGCGGGAACAAACGTTTGAAGTTCGATGTGCCGCGGCTTTGTCTTCGGCAGCAGGCGGATGTTCGCACGGGGAAACATGCTTCATAAAGCGATGTAGAAGCAGTGCTTGCTGGTATTTGCTGGTGAGCAAAAGAGAGCAAGGGGCCCAAAGGCAGCAAAAACTAGAACATCTTCTGGTTGGACGGATGGGATGCCTTAGGCCGAGTCGGGTGTGGGGAGCTTTCGAGCTTTTGTTGCTCTGAGCCGTGATACTGGTGGCCCTGATTCTTCAGTCCTTTAATGATACAGCCCGCTCTGCATCTTCCGCAGGTCCTGTTCCTGCGCGACGTCTTCAACTACTGTGTGGGCCCCGGCAGAACATGTGAAGCAGGCAGGCTTTGATAATGTGCTTGCATGCTTGGCTTCTGGGTGGCTCCGCTTTCTTTTTGAGGCTTGTTTGCCCAACCCTGAGGCTTAAAATCCTTCAGACCACCGTGAGCACCAAAGCGGAGCCGAAAACTCTGAACCCCCAACACCCCGAACTCAGGCAAGTCTGAGGGCTCCTTTCAGTTGACCTTCTCGGACTTGGAGCAGCGCAGACGCAAAGTAAAGGTGAGAGCTTGCCAAGTTCGCTGGCGATTTCCCGAGCCAAGGTACGGGCTTCGACGGAGCTTAACGCCGGATCTCTGGGACCTCGTGAGCGATGCCATGCGGAAGATGACGGATGAGATTCGAGGCTGATCCTACGGGACTCCGAAGGTTGGGGCTTCGCGGCCTCCGAGGCTGAAGAAGGGAGGGGGTGCTGGTCGCCAGGAGGGTTACTCTGGGTTTGGGCCTTAGGCCGTGCTCCACACGCAGCCTGGGGCTCAGGCAGCTAGGTGATGTAAGGCTTCCTGCTGCGGCTTGCGCGAGATGAACTAGGATCCACATGCTCGGAGCCTCTCGCACGGGCGTGAAGTAGCATCTTCGGAAACGGGCGATGACCTGTTGGAATCAGAGCAAAGGGAAGATCAGGTAATTCATGTTCCACGGCCAGTTGGATTGTGAAGCAAGCAAGCGCTTCCTTTCTATCGAAGATCTCAGAAGTTGACCTTCGCAGAGTTGCTGAGCCAGGTCCAGCAACGTTCTTCCACTTCCTGAAGAAGGCAGGGGCGACAGCGGTAGCCTAGGCCATGCGCCTGCACTGCATGTGGCAACCATCTACACAGGGAGCTGAGTTTTGTCGGTGTGTTCGGCAGTGTGACTCAGACCAGTCCATCCGGTGGCCTAGACTCCTGGACAACTGGCAAGAGGAATGGACACTTATGGTCTCGACCATGAAGATCCCTCTTCAGGTCCCATGGCAAGTGATCTCCCCGAATTCAGAATATCGGGATGTTGTCGCGCGGAGGCATACCCCGGCTGCCAGCCCAAGCATCTCGCTACATTCCAGGACTGGCAGGAGACCAAGTCTCATGGGTTCCAATTCCGGTGGACCATCCACAGGTTTGCACATCCGCCTCGCCTGCGCACGACTCACATCCTCCAAGGTGCAACCAGTACGACGAGCTGCAGCGGCGCAGCGCTGAGGCTCGTAAAGACTCGTAAAGAGAGCTGTGATAGTCTATCCATACTGAAACACAAAATCGTAGTCCAATCCGTCGGGCTGGCAGATCGTGAGGAGGAGGATGGAGGAGGGTCCCAGTTTCCTTCGCGAAGGTAGCAGATCGAAGCTGTCACTGGGTGGACTCTATAGACTCTACACCTCATTGGACACTTGCTGCAGATGGATCTCCTCACCGAAGCGGCCGCGCTCTTTGAAAAGAAGAATGCGATGCCGATCCTGCCCGTGGACGATCAGGCAGTGTCGTTCCGGTCATACGGCAGTAACCTCTGTTTTCATCCTTTCTGCGCTTTTCCTGCAGAGGCGCGCTTAGAGAAGGAGTTCGAAGAGATGGCAGCTTGGCTGTCAATCCTCATAGGCCCTCTCTGTGCACGGCATACCAGGGTCTGTATAGAGCTTTCGGGCATTTTTGTCGTTGCAGGGGAGAGTTTACTTCGTCAGCCTTGTCTTCGTAGTGATGCTGGTGGTGGTAGTGGTGCTCTGATAGTCAGTTGTAGGTGTGAGTGTATGTGTGCAGGGGGGGGAGCTGGCGCTCGATTAGTCGCGCGAGTGCTCACATCGTGCTGTAGGCATACCCCCACAGCATCATGATGACTGTGCCGGTATCATCATCGCATCATCCTGACAATTATGGTCATGGTTATAGTCAAAGTCATTTCCATTGTCATCGCCATCGTCGTCGTCATCATCATCATCATCATCATCATAAGCGTCACCATCACCGTCATCGTCATCTTCGCCCTGCTCCTCCTCCTCCTCCTCCTCCTCCTCGATTTTGTGTGCAGAAGTTGCAGATTGGGTCGCTTCGTCGGTGCTTTTCATTGTCGTACTTGGACGGCAAGTCTGCCACACAGTTATGTAGAAGACACTCTCAAAGAAGCGAGTGGGACTACGTTCGTCAGATGTATTGCTGTATGGCTTCACCTAAACCCAAGTGTCCTAAGATGCAAACCCAGGACATGTTCGGCACGGGCTGCGTGGAAGTCGCCGCGATTCAGCGCCGATGGGATTGGGACGAGCAGATGACAAGGGACAGCAGAGTTCGGGTCAGCACAGTCTGGGGGTTGTCGTTTGGAGAGAAAGCCTGCAGGGAGGGCCCACGGGAAAGGGGAATCCATCGCCTCAGCTGGACCCAAGGGAAGCCCCAAATTTCGCTTGGATCTCCAGGACCTGTGATGCCACCACTTGTTAAAGTTCGCAGGACATCATTGCCAAGTACGACCTTTCGGAAGATGGCGCCTCCGCCATCCGTTTGGTGTTTGTCTCTGCTGCAGAGGACCAGGGAATTTGTAGTTTCTCGCGTCTCCATCCCTTATTCCTGAGTCAGCAGATAAAAGCTATGAAGGTCGAGAGACCTCCTGACACAGAACCGTTCGCGCCCGTACTTCCTATCGCAAGCAAAGCCACTGGATGCGAGTAGCTGCACTAGTGATGGGGAAGCATCGTAAAGCTTGGTGCAGTGGCTGCAAATCTAGAGTTGCTCCGTAAAGCTCCAAGAAAGCTCTGAAGTCGCGACATGCTTGTGGATAAGGTTGCCTTGACAAGGGGGATTTCCTCCGGATGATGTGCCCGGACGGCTTCCGACTGCCCTCCATGCAGGCCTTTTCCGATGCCTGCGACATCGATGGTTTGGGGGCTGTTGTGCTGCCTGACCCCTTTCCCGGCCCCACAGACTCTTTATTCTGTGACTATCCGGTCTTCATCTTTGCCCTGCCAGCCTGATGTGCAGCGCTCGGCACATAGCGACGGTAGTTCGTTTGGACCAGACTGGTCCGGAAGCCCAAACCAGTGTTGAACTCTTGGTGCCCAAGGCCAATGCTGGCCATCTAGCGTTCGGCCCCTTTCACGTGCCAAGGAGATAGTAGCTCTCCGAGAGAGTCCCTAACGAGTATGGAGCTAATCGCAGAGTGCGTACCCCCAGTTGCAGGCAAGAATAGCAAGAGAGTTCTTCGCAGGGCTCCGACCGGGACGTTTTTGGCATGCTCCTCACTGGCAGCATCCGCCGTTTTGCTCGCAAAGAGACGAAGTGGTGCCACATTTGCGTGCGGCGAATGACGATACCGGGCTTTCCTGTTCCGTGCCTTCAGGAACGGGTATTGAATTCGAGATCCTAAAATCTTTTCGGGTCGACTTGCATCTGACGTGCAGCTTGCGGACACAGCCTGCAGATTATGTGGACATGCATGTGACCGCAGCAAAGCAGGGATAGTTCCTCCAAGAGCTCCAGCAAGTCCTGTCGGAGCTTGCATGTCTTTGCTGTGGCTGCTTTCTTGTGCCCGGGTCGACGGTTAAAGTCATAGCTAGATCTGAGGCTAGGACTAGGATCGATGTTGGCAACCGAGGATACCTGGAAGATGCGATATCTACGGAAGAAGGCCTCTACGCCGAGGAGATGATGGGGAGAAGCACAACGTGCGAAAAGTAACGTCGAAACTGTCACGCAAACTTCAGAACCTCGTGCAGCAGGACTTTCTTGGTCAGAGGCTAGTCGTTTTTGTTAAGAACGAGGAGCAGCTCGTCTGCCGTAAGTGCTTGTGGCTCTCTGGATGCTACTACGGGAGCTGGAGTTTAGAAGCTGGGCCCGTTGATAAGGAGATGTCTGAGATCCGCACCAACGGAGAGCCCAAGCCCAGAACCAGATCCCAGAAAGCAACTGCAAAAGGCCTCCCCCTCGAGAGGACGTGAAGGCGGCAAAGGAGGTAAGGCTGAAGTGCCTGGTCAGAAACATGCCCAACCCCAGAGACCACACTGACCACACCTCGCATGGCTCCGGGACCGAGATTTCGCAGTGTGGCCCCTTAGAAGTGTTGCATCGTCCGCACTTAAAGAGGTCCCCGGATTCATCACTCTTGAGGGCTATCAGCATGGGGATGCCATAACTTTTTTGTCGAGGGAATAGCGAATCGTTTCTCGACGTGGTCAAGCATTCACAAAGAAGAATCTCCCGTCGAATGCGCTTGCATTGGAGTTTGAATTTCGGGGGCTTCTGCTCGAGAACTCGAAAGAAGTCTCGGTTGTGTTCGCTAGACAAGTGCTTGGCACGCGGAATCTCGAATGAGGGAGCTTTTAAAACCGCTTTCTCAAAAGGCCCATGCCTTTCTCGCTGCTGCCGGAGATTCCGGAGGCGACGTGGATCTTCTGGCGACTTGTGCTCCATTCAGGAGGCTTCTTGAGTCGTTTTTTCTGCGTCAGAGGGTAAGGTTAGGGTTCCCCAAGCCTGAAGTCGGCTTTCAGACAGAGGGGGCGAGGCTCAGGCTCTGTGAGTCTTATGTCGAATTTCACAGGCTATCCCAGCAGAAGATCGCAGGAGACCTGTGCTTGGAGGAACCGCATGGCTGCGAGCCATTTGACACGGCTGCCTGATGCGTCTGCGTCAGCAACAGGGGCACTCAGCAACTTCCGAGAAGACGGCAGTGTGAGTTTGAGACCAAAAGAGAAGATGTGAAGTTCCTTTCTCTCCTCGCAGCGTTGTGATGAGGAACGATCTCTTCACCAGGCTGGATGCCGATGAGGCGTCTCCGAGGGCAAGGGCTGGTTTCGTAGGTTTGTGCCATCTAGCCATCTAGCGCCCCAGCAGATGAAAAAGACCGTGGAGACCTGCCAGGATGATCACATCCGCGAGCGCGACCTTCTTCGGGAGGGGCTGCTGTCCCCCGAGGTGGTCGAATCAGCTGTCTTTGCTAAGTGTGAATGACACTTGATACATGTCCACGGTCATGAGCAGTAGTGTGACAGTCTTGTTATGCATGTCTGTTTTCCCGTTGCCATTAGGGCCCTTGAGTCTAACGAGATAGCGCGCAGTTTACCTGGCGAAAAGTCCGACCAGTTTCACACTGGTAGCGGAGCAGGTACAGCCTTGGTGGACCGGCCGAGCGCGGACCCAGTAGCCTGTAGATCCGTAGGCCTGGGCGAGCCCTGTACTTTGTCGTCGACCCATTAGGTTGCAGTCACATAGCCTAACCTCCTCCAGCGATGTCAGTGGCGGGACTGAGATACTCCCGACCACGCACTCTAGTACTCCCCTGGAGACCAGATCCTGTAGTTATATATACGTGGGACCCAGTACGTTCCACGACTGGGAATTTAGGACCCTTTATGTGTCTTGAATTATAGGAGGACGCGATACGCCCAACAAAAAAAAGACGTCGACTAAGGGCGATAAGAGTATCGAGCCAGACGATAGCGACGACAGCCCGCTAAGCCCTACTCGGGCTGCGGCCGCTGCACCTGTACCCGCCGAGGACGGGCCCGACATGGAGGCAGGTAGCGGATCCCCGACGAGACCGCGAGCCGCAACACCGAAGTTTGATGACTCGGGTTCCGTCAGGGGTGCCACGGCAGCCTCGCCGATGGACGAATCCACGTCCTACGCTGTGGCGAGGACGGAGACTGTCCACAAAGTGCTCGAAGGACTTCGTGACGAAGCCTCCGAATTGGCGAGAGACATCGGCATCGAATCTCTAACCGCCCCAGGTGGCTTGCGTGATTATGATTTCATCACCCGGATGAGGAGTGTTGTCTTTCCCTGCGACGTGGAAGAAGCCCGAGAGCTCTTGCGTGCGGGCCAGTGTCAGGGAGCACTCGCCCGTCAGGGTGGCGAGTCGATTCTGTCGTACGTCAGTCGGCTGGTTGAAGCTGCTAAAAAAGTCACTAGACTCTAGCATCGAGCTTTCCGAGCCGATGCGCATGGAGCTTCTTCTAGAACTGTCCGGTCTCAGCCGACAGGAGTCCTTGGTGATCAAGGCATGCACCTCGGATTCCCGAAGCTTTGAGGCCATCGGTGCTACCCTTGTGGAGCACTACATCGGCGTGCACCTAAAGGAGGGTCGCTCCTTGAGTGGACCGCCGTCACCACAACAACGGGACTAGGCCGCGGACCAGTCCCGAGGAATTCGAGCTCGACGAACACGAAGCCACTGCGCTAAATTGCCCCTCGATCCCGAGGAAGCAGAGAGCGGACATGTCATTCAGCTCCAACTTGCTGCCAACGCCGCCTTCGGCAAAGCAAAAGGCAACGGCAAATCGAAAGGTAAGGTAGTACGGTCACACCTTACACTCGATGAACGTAGGGACAAGATGAAGGCGCTGAAGGCGAAGTCGAAATGCCAGATGCGGAGGGATCGGCCATTGACGAGACTTGCCGTGATTGTGGAAATGTCTCGCGCAAGCGCCGCGAACACGTCTAGACGGTAGATCCCCCCCGTATGCTCGCACGAGGCAACGGGCAAGCGAGGCAGTTCGAGGACCACGTCCCGGACCTTCTGCCGGATGTCTGGAACGTTCGTGGACGAGGTCCCGCAGGAATTTTATCGACAATGCAAAGCCATCTCAGAGCGAATCCTGGAGCCTAACGAACTGGCGTTACCGGTCGTGCAAGCCATCACAGCGGATGATGCGACAGCGGATCTTAACCATGAAGCAGTTGAACATTGCTCTCTTCCAGGACCGCGTGCTCGCCCTCGACGCCCAGAAGCACTTCACGCGTGGTGCGAGAGGCCATATACGGTAAAAGGCCGAGGGCCGAGGCAAGGACAAAGCAAGAAAGGGAGGATGCCCAACGGGAGTTGGACGAGCTCGTCAACAACTACTCGCGGACGAGCAGCAGGACTCCGACACGCCTGCTGAATCAGCGTCAGCACCGGCCAAGCTCGCATAGTCGGCAGGGACCTCTTGCAATTCGACTACCAGGCTCGTAACCCTGTAACGCGTGCCGGCTGTGCCGTACTGGCGTGGCCAGACGGGCCAAGACATGGACGAGGAAGGCAGGAATAGGCAATAGGCACGATGCGTGGTAGAAGCGCCGTGACGCTATCTTTGCAGAACCGATGTCGACGCCGACGCGAGGAAGTTTTGTGGTCCTCAGCCTCCGCGAGCCAAAACCAAAATACCCCAAACATCCCTAAAGGAGGTAAGCGTCAGGGTGTAGTTCAGGTTGGTTTGGCAGATGCAGCGCAAGAGGCAAGCGCCCGACGGTAAGCCGTACGATAGCTATGCTCGTCCTATCTCCAATGAAGGACGCGAGCTTGCGCGCAAGAGGCCGAACAGGTTTAGTAGACAGACTAGGTCCGTAGGAGGAGCGTGGCCGCCTCTCCGCGAGGATGTGCTGTCCATGCTTCGACAGCGGTACCTCCGGAGAGGACCGCTGGCACGGGCAAGGGTCAGGTTAATAGCAAACCCCGTCGGACTAGGCGTGGTAAAGGTAAGGGAACCCGAAGCCCTAGTACCAGGACCCGAGGCGAAGCCCAAGCCTAAAGGCAATAACCCAAGGATATTTCCCACCAGAAACACAGCTGGGTTCTACCCCTAGCAATGATTTGGTGAGAACTGATAATCTTCCCCCAGTCGACATGTGGAACTCTGATGAGGTCCACGTTTTGGGTGCGCTAGCTGAAGTGGGGTAAGCTAGCCGAGAGACGCCTCAAAGCCCGAGGCCTGAGTTTCCCCTGGGTAGATTCGAAAACCAAACCTTTTGCAGGTTTGGTTCGAACACCCTCGCGAAGCGTAGGCTGCCATTCAGCACCGAGAGGGGAAGTACTACCCTAGGAGGAGTGTTAGAAAGCCACCAAATTGATACTTCAGCTCGTAACCCTCTCCTCCTTAGCCTGTTTGCGCAGAGCACCTTGGGGCTGATGAAGGATATGAAGGCTTGGGGCTGATGAAGGATATAAAGGCATGTACCTTTTATATTCGCGACCATGATGGCTCCATGCAACATGTCCCCCTAGCATGGTGTTCAGAAACAGGTTTGCTATATTGCTATGCTTGAGCAACTTCTCCAAGGACTTGCCCGACTGCGTGAGGCAGCTTAAGGATTCTAAGGATAGGTCCCCGAGTAGGCCCACCTGAAGATCCCAAGCCCTCAGCTCTAGGGAAGTTCCTAGTCTGGTTCTGGATCCTGGTACCTTTTTAGGACCAGGTGAAGGGCTGGGCGGAGGTACTGGCAACAGACCTCCAACCGCCATGGTCTTGCTGGCACCAGTGCCCGATCACGAGGGGCTGGTTAATGGATGCTCCTGTGGCCCGAAGAACCCATTTCAAGAAGCCGGCGGCCGATGGCCGAATGTCTGTGGTGGTGCTGACTGGTGGGGCGCGATACCAATTCGACAACAAGGGTCGCAACCGCCGCCGCATCCGATCGAAAGACGGATGGCAAGATGCGCTCCCGCCGACCATCGTGCGCTATCAGGTCAGAATCCATGAGAGGGATCTGAAGGACTCTCATGAGGGACAGTAACTGCGTAGGGCGCCAAGGAGATCCTGAACGGTGTTCTGGAATCTAAGACTGGCCGCACAATCTTGTCGATCTGCAAAGGGCGTTCAGAGGACTGTGGAATTCCACAAGCCCACGATTGTACTGCCTGTTTGCACCAGCAATCGCCGCAGAAGTGTAGCCCAGCTAGCCTCGAACATCACGTCCTATGCCTCGCGCCCAGCAGACAGGTCGAGAGGGAGCGGTACCGCTGCCGGGCCCAGCTTCCCACAGCGTGCCGCTACCTCGTAGAACAGCCTCGCAACCATGGAAGATCTCCTGGACGAGCTGGTGGCAGTGGTGATGGTTCTGGTGGTGATGAAATTTCGGGGGGGCCATCGTCCAGGCTAGTCGTCGCCGGCCCCCGCGACTGGAGAGACGTGCTATCCGAGTGGAAGCACCGTTGGAGGCATCCATTTAAGCAGGAGGCAGATGAGCTCATTGACCAGAACAAAGTCCTTTACGGCCAGGCTTGCGTCGACGGGTGGAACCAGTGGTTCGAAGAGCGGCAGCAAGCCGGGTATCTCACACGATACCGCGGCGTACCCCTCGAGGGACTCCAAGATCAGCTGCTAGGGGTGATCGCCGCGACAGATCTACCCATCGTGGGAGATCGTACTCTGCTGCCCCAGCACGCTCTCGAAGTGCTTTCGGCAGGATGGGCCAGAGGTCTCAGGCGCCGTCTCGTGGAAGCGCTGACCCAGCTCCAGCCGTGCACCGTACCTCCTTCAGAGACGGGATGGACACCGTGGACGCGATCTCACCACGGAGAACCTCAACCCTGTTCCAGGAATCGATGACGATCCTGATGATGCCGAGCCGTGCGCTGCCAACCTCTCCTTCCACGACTTGATGGATCTGGGCCGGGCCATCAAAAGGGACCTCGTAGACGCAGGTCACGAGGACAAGGAGAAGGACGGCTGGAAAGGCCGGATAGGTCTTGGCGGTGCCAACGAGCGGTCGCTGTTGCGCAACGTGCGGTACTGGTGGCGACCGAAGAGTGGCACCGTCGCATCCAGAATCAGCTATGACCGTTCGCTCAACCTGTGGATGAAGACGGTACTGCTTGTCAGGAGCGGCGAGGTCCGTATCCTTTCCCATCTACGCAGAGATTCCTACCACTGAGGAGGAAGCGGGCTCGGGCTCGACGGATAGATTTTTGATCGTTTGTCGCCCGACCTTGGACGTGGCTGGTGCCCTGCTCGACCCATAGAGGAGAGCGCAAGCCCGAAGGGCAGGGTAAGAGAGCCAGAGCACGCGGCGTCCCGTGGAGCGTACACAGGGGACAGGGCTTATGTTGGGGTTAAGCTTCCCAGTCCCAAGAATGAGCCTATAGTCCTCAAGCAAAGCCCAGGAGTAGCAACCAAGAAGAAGCCTCAACCCAAAGCACCTCAAGCTGAAGCGGTAGGCCCTGCACCAGCCCGTGTCAAGCCTCTAAAACTGAC